TGGTGATAATCCAGTGGATATCGAATTACTCTCACTCCAACCCTTTTCTTTATCACCATAGGAACTACATTTAGTAGTTCTCAGAATTCGCTTCAAACATTGGTTTAATTTTGTCTATTCATGTAATTGGGAATGATATCACAAAATAGTTCGAAAATATTATACGGATTTCCTTATCTGTTACTTCGGCAAGTTGGCAGCTATATCATCTAGTTCTCCGATGTCAGACCATTTCAGTTTGCTAATTGTCTTGGAAAACGTATGTAGACTGAGGTCAACGTTTGTGACTTTTAGGAAGATGCTTGGGTATTTTCACACGCGTCCAGCGGGATTCCGTTATTTAGTGAGAGATGAACTGATTCAGATATTTCAACACCTGATAGTCATAGGCATAAATCCAGTACCTCCTCACCCTGTAAAGTTTAAGTTTATTTAAAATGAGCTTGACAAACGTAGATCATTCACTACTTCGTTCAACGGCACATATTTTATTCGCTATAGACCTTTATGTCAATAATAACTTCACCTTGTTAAATTTATCTCATAAGTGAATAGAACAAGGTACTATATTTATAGGACTGGGTGGCATACATGCAGGGACACTTTCTCTTATGAGCGAGAATAAACAGATTTTTATAAACACTCGGTTTATAGTATCGTAATACTGCGAACTTAAAGAATACACTGCTAGTATTTTAAAAAAATGTGGTTTCACATCACAGCAAATGATTGTGGTTGTAGGTAGGGTTTCAACTTATGGTATCCAGTTACATATTACGATAAAATGATCATAACCTTTTTCTGGCAAAATGTTATAGCCTACCCATCCAAAAAAACATTTAAAAGATATAGATTGCATGGGGAAACGATCAAAGCGATTCACATTTGGGCTGAAGTTATTTCGATGACTAGAAGATCGTACACCGTGGTAAGCTTCAGTAAAGCAGGAAAAGAAAAGACGGTTAATAAGTTGGGCGGACGACTCAAAAAGTATACAAAATCCCTTGATGGTCACTAGCCAAGTAATTCAGCAACAGTTAGTAAAAACAGTTGCTTACTTACTCATGTTACCCCTCATGGGGGAACATTGTCCACACACTGGCAGTCTCCACTAAAATCTGTCCCGGAAATACCTTTCCAGTTGTTAACAGTTGCTATTAATTCTTCTGATGTCTGCTTCCAATTCTCGACTAAGTGTGCTCCTTGGCCTTTCTTTTTTCCGTTTCCCTTCAGGATTCCAGGTAAGCGCTTGCCTGGTGATACAGTTTGCTGATCTTTGAAATGTGTGTCCTATCCATTTCCAATGTCTTTTCTTAATTTCCCGTTCGGCTAGAAGTTGGTTTGTTCTCTTCATAGTAGTCTTCCGTTGATGGTATCTGACCAACGGACATTGAGCATATTTCGCTGAAAATTGTTCGTAAAAACTTGTGCTTTTTGGTGATGGTTGTGGTGGGTCTTGAAGTTTCAGCTCCATATAGTAGAAACGTCTTGATGTTCGTATTGAAGATTCTGGCTTTGATATTAGTTGACAGTTGTTATATGTTTCATACGTTCTCCAATTATAGTAATGCGGACCTTGCCTTGAAAATCCTTGCACTTATATCTGTATCATATCCTCCCTATTCATCGATGATGCCTCCCAGGTACATAAAACTTTCCACACCTTCCAAAGCTTATCCATCAAGTGTGATTGGGTTGATGTTCTCTGTGTCGTATTTGAGGATCTTGCTTTTTCTTTGTGTATGTTGGAGCTCACTAATGCAAAGGCCGCTGCTACAACGGCTGTCTTCACTTGAATTTGTTGGTGTGTGTAGAAGGGTTAGGTGGTCTGGGAAGTCAAGATCTTCTAGTTGCGTGCAAGCTGTTCATTGTATTCCGTGTTTTTTTTTCAGATATCGAGGTGTTGATAATCCAATCAGCCCTCAGAAGAAAGAGACAGGACAAAAATAAGCTGGTTAAAACATAAACTATGAAAATTTTACGTCGTCAACATTCTGCCTCAAGTGGCTCCTAAAATTTAATTCCTCTGGCCGACACAAGGCACTTACACTCCCCACGAGAATCGTCTCCGGACTGTCTACTCAAAGTGAAATTTTGGCCTAGTAACAACGCAAGCTAAAGGTAATTTGGGATCAAGGCAATGGAAATTCAACTCTTTACTCTATGCGAAAACAACTTGGACTCGAACGTTTGAGATTATTCTTACCAGCACATTAGAGGATAAGAAATTATCCAGTAATCACACAACATATTAAGCGCACCGTTTTGCCCCAACACGAACATGCTCACAGAACATTGCTAAGAATAAGAGACTTTAAAATCACTTAGTCATGGATTACAACTTTCTGATTAGATTAGTTTTGTCTGGCGCACGTCTCGAAACAAACTAACTGTCATTGTTAATGTGAATCACCGAAATACTTCTACCTCTCTTATAAACAATTTTGTCTTCCTTAGATTTACATTTTCTGGTCCTATCAAACTACTTGATTTACTAATTATCATATTTGCCAAGTTAGTTCTTCAAACAATCATCGTTTGCTTATCACTCAAACGACCACTTTACTATTTTCGCATTGCAATCAACCAACCCCCTGGTTGTTAGTCCGATGGTTGCTACTTCTTGAAATCTCACTGCTGATGCACACCACATTACACGGCTGTGATGTCGGTCAAATTAATTACCTACCACATTTACGGAGAAGTGAACATGCAGTTATCCTATTCATGTTCATGGCTGAGATGGCCTGTCAAACAGTTGCGTCGTCCCGTCCTAACATATGGAAGACAGACACAGAGGTAATAAATTCTGCAGCTTCAGCTATAAACTGGAGAACAGAATCAGGCGGATCAGAAGAAAAGGCATGAATTTATCCACATATATCCTAGACAGTCCCAAAGAAGAACAATAGGACGGTATATTCGACGTTTACTAAGACAAAAGAAGAGGTGCTGAAACGTGACCATCAGCCTTGGCACAGAAAATACTACGGCACTATATAGGTCGGTAAGAAATAAGTGTATAAACAAAATCCGCGAAGTTCAGAGAAAATATGAAATGCAGTTGGTACAATCTGCAATCAAGAATCCCGAAGAGATTATTCTCGCACATAAATTACAAAAGTATTAAACTCCCAACCTAATTAGGCAAGGGAGTGGATCTGAAATGATTGGGGATGACCAGAGAAAAGAAGAGGCTATGGCAAACTATTTAGGAACAGTGTCTACTCGGGAGACTACTTCAGCCGAAATCTAGACACAAATACAATGTCAACATACCGTCTGCTCACTGTGAACTTTTATATAGATGATGTACTTAAGGCTCTTAGCACCTTAGACATGAAAAAGTCAACAGCACTGGATGAACTACACCCCAAAATTCGAGACAAATATTACAACGTATTTCAACCCCACTAACCGTGATATCCAGTATGTCAGATGACTATGGTGTGTTACCTACGGGCTACAAGGATGTAATCGTCACTCCAAAATATAAAACATGACCATAACAACTTCCAAAGGACAACAGTCCTGTCAGCACCACTCAACCTTGAAGTCTAGCCCCACATCAACAGAGGCCTGGAATAGTACCGAGACAGCAGGATACAAGCTTAATCAGTATACGTGACACGGCGTTAAAAACCATTACATGACACCATACTAATGCGAGTTTGTTTTCGTTATTGCAAGGCAGTAAAGTGAACGTAGTTGGAGGAGATGGACAAGCCCTACTTAGGCTGAACCCGCAGAACAATGAATAAAACTATTTGGTAATAAATTTCCTTTTTTTACTAGAACTGCGTCTTTCAATTTTAAAAATATACCTGTTGTGCCAGTACACAGCGTTCTTACTTCGGAAGCATGTAACGTTCCTGACTGTTGTTCCACATTGCTCCTGCTTCCAAATGAACGCTATTATATGACGTGCTACATAGACGTAGACCGAAAGCCATTGGACAATGGACTGACACTTTTCGACATCCTCGGTACATTGATGGCCTCGACCTTCAGGGCTGCTAAGGAAATTAAGGATGACTGGGGTAACCGCGAAAGGATTGATGTGATTACTACAAATATTAAAAGCTTAGTAAATTTCCTCAATCGTTTTGACTCTTCATGTCGGACAAAGTTATCTCAATTAGACAGTAAACTAACTAATGCAGAGAAGCATGTTGATTTACTTGAAGCTCATGTGCACAGAATACTCTCCCAACAAAATCACCAAAGACCTACGCTGAAATCTCCACAGCACTCATTGACTCCAAACGATTAGCTGGTTTGTGTTTTCCTACCTGTCTTCAAGATATTCATGTATATTACGCCTGAACTATTGATTGGGCTTGATTACTATTTCTTTTTCAAAAGCAAATAAAACCCTACCTCAAAACGAACTTAGTGTTGTCCTAACAAAGCGTTGCACATTATTTTTGTACTGTATTAACGCCTATTTAGTTAGCGTGTATACTGTGTGTTTTTCTTTCTTGTTCATAAAATCTAGTTCGAAGTCCGAATCTATTTCAATATAAACCAGGTCCTAACCCAAGTGCGGGAAAATAGTGTCTATATGTGCATGTTTTTATGGATGGTGTAAGTCACACTTGACTGATATCGTACAATTACTTCACTTAAAATCACTTCGTGGCTGAGACAAGTTACAATCAGACCACTTCGAAATAAATTCACTAGAACTTAAACCACTAATAAATACTCCGCATTAACATACGGCGCACGACAAACATAATGATTCCTTGCTTAAATTGCTTCACTTAGTTGCCGAGTAGCACTACGTATTCAAGGATAACGACTAAGTTATGTTCGTTTATGCTCTAAAACAATTCATGACAGACAGCATCCGTAATTGATATGGCTGACGATTAACAAGTTAGGTTGTGTACAGTGAAAGGGTAATCTAAACATACCAATTACTCATTTTAAAAATAGTTAGAGCTAATGTAACTTCAATAAAAACTGACTCTACATTTTATTCATGCTCTTCTTTAGAACACATGTGTCCTGTACATCCTCCTCTCCAACTGTATAAATCCAGATGGAATGCACTGGTTGGAAATTAATAGAGGAAGTAGGACGTATCAAAGCCTGCATAAATGTTATACTTTGGGGGATCCAAACCCAAATAGTTTCGTCTCAGGTTGGTAACCTTCTACACAAAGTTTGATTCTAAATATTAAGATGACTAGATAACCGTTAATTTAGAAACTACTCATGTGTTTATTTATTGGTACAGTGATTCATTTTTAAATTCAATGTCTATGTTACAAATGGTGTGAATAAATTATTTAAGTGCATGAAAAATGAATTAGTAACTCTTGGGTAGCAATCTTCTTAATAGTTCGCCAATCAATATCCAAATGGACTTTCCAGAATCGTCGACAATATGACCATGTAGTTGCAGGGAAGTGAGGAGTCGATATCCCATGAAATATATTAGCGATTGTCCGACCTGTGATTTTTCGATCAAGACTAGATTCATATATATGTACAAAGTTTCTAACTGTAGACTGCACCTGAGCGATCTTTAACAAAAAATAGTAACAAAGAACAAAACATTTGCGCCGTGTAACACAAATGCCATTTCAATCAAATATTTTATAAATATGAGTTCAGTAAAATAGGTTTACAGAATGACTGACTAGTGTGTCATAACAAATACTTGAACTAGAGATAAAACTAAAAGACACATATTGGTCCGCAATATTTATATGATTATATTATGACCATTTACGACAGTTAAACTAAACCACGAATGAAAACTGACACTATCCCTATTTCTCTTAAATGTTACGTTGTATTTGTGTACAACCGTCATTTCATTTATTATTTATTTGAACACATAAATATTGGTTATGGGGGCACCAGATACATATGCGCCACACAAAAAAGTGTCATTCCATTTTAGTTGTGAGGGCTATGACACCACCCGGGTGCCCAGACTGAAGCAGGTGGTTTTTTTAGGAGGCCACATCCCGAGCTTTTGACCTAAAGGTCTGACCCACAAGGCAGTGGAGCATCGTAAGGAGATGCAGTCCTATTGTAGCCACTGACCAACGATTGATTCATACACTATTTGTTCCCTCAGGGTGCTGGAGCCCATGTGCACCATTGGTTTGGAATCAGGGTTTTCCAACTTTCCTAGGTGAACTTACCGTGTCCACCCGCCGGATTGAAGCGTCGGACATTCGCTTTTCGACCTCTCAATTTAGTAAACAACTCCGCCACGAGAAGGCAGTGAGTAAGACTTCCCTGGCAGAGGCTGTATACTAGTGGCCGTTTGAGAGCATTTCGAGAGATAGAGCGGGTCCTCCCCACTCTCGGCTGTACCAGGGCATTTGGGGGCTATGTAAAACCGTAATCTATAGTGAACTGAGTAACACTTTAAGGCGATCTTAACAAAAGACAAAGTAATATATCTAACGGGTTTAAATTATTGTAGTGCTATCCTGTAATCACAAAGGGCTCTGGTTTATACACCGTGTTTACATGAAAGTGGATAGTTTTATAAAGAAGATCGACCGGGAAAGTAGAAGCCACTGTTATTTCTATAGGAACATATAAGAATAAGTATTAACTTAACCTATATAATGACAAATTGAGTAACTGTTTACTTGTAGTTTTAAGTCTATTAAAGATCGAAATGTAGAAACATTTAACAAACTTGCCATTGCTCTTGATAAACTGTTTTGTTCATTTTGAATTATAATGAGTAAATGACCTATTTCCTGGCTTTAACTGCCTATTAAAAGTAAAATCCATAATTACTTCGACCGAGTATTTTAATCAGCATAAATGCACATGTACGTAAACAATGATTTGTTAAAATCCACACTGACCTGAGTATCTGTTACAACTGTTGGCCAATGGTATCGAGATTGACAATTCTCAATAAGTGCTAACTTATCATCTCGTAAATTGCTTTTAGTACCGGCAAAATGGGACTTGATAATTTCGTGCACAACAGATGACCACTGTTCACTATATTTTTTGCAAGCAGGTTTAGGACTCTCTAGATCATCGTTGGTTTCTTCAGGGTAGATGTCTTGAAGACACGGTTGTGCGACAGCACCTAAAGCCAATGTTAATTGTTCGATACTAAGTAAAGCGGCTTCCTCAGCTTGTTGCAGGCGATTATTCAAGTAGGTCAAACAAGTATCTAAACGCTCATTTGTAATTGGTACTTCAGACCCATGAATCCATAGCCAAGAACTCCAATGTGAAAAATCAATATTTATCCCAGTACGATACGCTTTACTAGACGCCTCGGTGGTATTATTGCTTTTGGAATAATCCCATTCCAGTTTTTTTAATTCTTGTTTCACTACATTTGGCTTCCAACCCCAACGATTAAACAGTTGTGGTAAATTTAACGTCAACTGCCTAGGATATTCGTTTATGGTTTGTGTATCTTTCGTTTGTTCACTTTTCCATAAACTAAGCGCACCTGAAACAGCTAAACAACGTTGGCAAGCATAAGCCATCTCTTGCTGACCTCCATAGCAGTAGACAGTAGCCATCTGAAAAGTAAGATATAAGCAATTATGACAATCTAATTAACAAAACCTATAGAATATTCAATTAAGAATACAGATGAGTAATAATTGCTTGAGGTGACAGACAATAATGAAATATTAACAGACTTAGTATTAAGTATATAAGGCTTAATTGGGTGGTTATGGCTTTCAGTTTTGTCTGATTAGATTAATATAGTGTCATTTACTGAGTCTACATATATAATAAGAACTTACAAATGGTATCCTAGTTATAGTCTTTATTTAGATTTGAGTATTCACGAATTACTTATTGTTGATAAAAGTATACGGATGAAAATATGCACTTACAGCATAACCAGAATGCAGTAACGAAATTATTGGATTGCCGGGTTCTAATTCTATGTAGGCCAATATAGTAGCTAAGCTTTCAGGTTTTATATCGATTTGTTCACTGACAACTCGTAGATCGATTGCATGTACATGACCTTGACATGACACTGGGTTTTCTTTGTGGTTTTCAACAAAACGACATGTACAATGAAAGTCTTTAAATATCAATCCAAGTAAACGTTTCAATAATACAGCATCAAGGTGATTAGCAAAAATATGCCGTCTTATATAATTTGCTTCATGAGGATCACTCATTAAAGAGGAGGGTAAAAATGCATGACAATAGGAGACCTGTTGTTGACGTCCTACACGACCTATTTCCTGGAAATAAAAAGATAATAAGGATATATAACTAATGGATTAAATGAAATAACGGCTTAAGCGATATCCTAGAAGTATTAAACTTATTGTTACAGTACACGACACTATTAATGGCTCGAAAATGAAATAAACGGAAAATCAAGAGTTGATAGTTGACAACCGTCTTTGTTTGCTATATGCATGCAAGTCCGCCCCGTTATTGTTCCTATTTGCCCCCAAATTCCCTGGTACGGCCGAGAGTGGGGATAGTCCGCTCTCCCTCTTCGAATGCTTTCACATAACCACGAGTATAGTCACTGACATAGAAATCTTACTCACTACCTTCTCGTGGCATCGATGTTGTTTACGAAAGTGAGAGGACGAAAAATGAATGTCCGGCGCTTTAACCGGGTTGGTGGACACGGAAAGTCCACCTAGGGGTTGGAAAACCCTGATTCTAAACCAATGGTGTACATGGACTCAAGTAAACTGAGGGAACAAATGGCGTATGAATTAATCGTTGGTCACCGGCTACCATTGGACTGCATCTCCCTACGATGCTCCACTACCTTGTGGGTCAGAACTTTAGGTCAAAGGCTTGGGGCGTGGCCCTCGAAGAAAATTACCTGTTTCGGTTTTGGCACCCGGATATTATCACAGCCCTCACACAAATCAAATGACGCATATATATCTGGTGCCCCTTTGTACCAATATTTATGTTTAAAATAAAAATAATTTTGCATCAATCAAAGTTTGCTTATAGTGTGGTCTACTTATATCCATATAAGTAGTATATGGTGTTGGTCAGACATAGAATGTACTTTTGCAGAAGACCGATGAGTTAAAAACTGAAACAAAGTGCAATCGGTAGGAAAATGCACGAACAATGGAATTAGAGAAGAAACAGTGAAGATTGAGACTATTGGTTGTTAATTTGCAAATTGACTGTCCATTGTATGGTTTTCAGAATTTACTGAGATAGTCTGTAATATTTTCATAAATACATTCGATTGTCCCCAACCAGTGTTCTGTTCACTACAATAGTTCAACCGATTGTAACCAACATAAGCAGGAACTGTAGAGGTGGTTCTCTATGTTGTAATATTTAACAGTCTTTCATGCATAGTTCTGTGAACCCAGTTATTGATCATATGATATTAGTAAACTAGAGGCTTTGTACCATAAATACTGATGACTCCTTGTTTTATGTGATAACAATGCCGTTCTAGCAGTATTGTTATCGTAGCAATTCCAACCAGCACATCCGAATTCCATACAATTGGATATCTTCATTTATGCATTCTTATAAAGAGGCATAAATTTACCATGTTCATTGTCATAAGAAGCTTATGATACTTTGTAGTTTCTAAAATATTGAACAGTAAATAAGTGAATTAAGTGCAAAAGGTCGCTCATAATTCGTGGATCGGTTGAAGTTAGACATTAACACCGTTGGATGCCAGCCAGATCAGTGGTCTATCGGTTAAGGGCTCTGGCGCGAGACTGGTATGTCCTGGGTTCGCGAGTGCGGGATCGTGGATGCGCACTGCTGAGGAGTCCATAATAGGACGAGACGGTCGCCCAGTGTTTCCAGGTTTTCCATAGTGGTCTAGCTTCAATTGACTCATGATTTCAACTTTGACAAAAGGTCTGTGTTAAAATAAGTTTTTGACTTACTTGTACATAATTTTCAAATGATTTAGTAAGTGAGAAATGAATGACAGCTTGTAAATCAGATTTATTCAATCCCATCCCAAAAGCACATGTGGCAATTAGAACACGTATTTTACCACTCATAAATTTCTTTTGTATACGAGATCTTTCACTTGTCGTTTGACCAGCATGATATGCAGCTGTTGTCCAACTCATACGTCTACGGCCAACCTAGAACAAAAATGAGTAAACAAAACGATGAAAAAAGGCTTTCACAAATGAATTACACGAAATAAGGATTTGGCGATGGCTATCGGCCTCTTAGGGATTCATTAGATAGATAATTCATTTCCATTTTAGTTCCTTTGTTTTTTATTAATCAATATGCCAAATAGTCATGATAAAGAATAAAAGATGACAATCGGTAATACGCATACTATATGGTAGAAAAGCGAGAGAGTAAATCACCTGATCCACTTTATCCTGCAAAGCTGTACGAATGTATGATGCTAAGTGTTCTGTTTCTTCTCTGGTTGCACAATATATTAATATCCCTCCAGTTAATCGATTAAATGGTTTCCTTGTCAGTAACTTCAAAAGCGCTTCATCCTTTTTATCATCCATTGATGCTGATATTGTCAAATGTGACGGTAAAGGAGTTAACACTGGTTGAACATAACCAGGTTGATGTAAAGTTGTCTCGTTAATTGTATCACCAACAAACCGTGTTGGGTTATGAATTCCCAAATTATTACAAATATTCGTGATGACATCTGGGGTACAAGTTGCAGAAAGGCCTGGAATAAACAAAAAAACGGGTAAACTAGAAATATCTCACTAGATAACCCATATTTATTGAAGAAACACTAACTAAGATTTGATTATTTGACAGGTACTTGGTAGTTCGACTAAAACCAGAACAGCATCGAAATTTCAGTGAATTAAAGTAATCAAACTCTTTTATAGTATTGTCTAAAAGAAAACTTTCAAACCTCAGCAATTTTTTTGAGGATAGCCGTATATTAAATATGCACCCATAGTTTTTTTTCAAGAATTACACCCAGGTATAGAACCACAAACTCACTGACAAACCGGTAGTATTGGTTATATACTCACTAAAACAGTATTTTTCTGTAGAAGTTTTATTTCGCACTTTATGATCTTCCCTCTTTTATTTCTTTCGCTTTTATTTGTATGGCACATATATAGGTGACAACACTGTAAAAAACAGTTTTATGCTCCTGAACAAAATCTTCCAGAAAACGAACATCTCGTTTTTGAAAGTGCAGTTTTCCCAGGATTACTAATTGTTCAAAATGTTATCACCAATATTCTATTAAGTAATCATTATAAGCGAACGTAATATTCCAGAAATTATTATCAGGTATTTTGTGGAGATTTAGTATTTTCATAGTTGAGAGCGTGAGTCCACAAAACTCCTAATAATGATAATCATATGCTCACTAGTGACTGACTTCGAGAGGTAAATCCAGGAGTTCTGGTGAGAAGCAGTGACCAGGGGAGTTCAATCAAGTCTGTTGTGAGATATCAACTCACTGAAGACAATTAGTGAACGGTTGCTCAACTTCGTCGATTGGTTGAAGTTAGATATAAACACCATCGGATGCCGGTTTAGTGGTCTATCGGTTAAGTGCTCTGGCGCGAGACTGGTAGGTCCTGGGTTCGAATCTCCTGAGGCGAGGTCGTGGATGCGCACTGCTGAGGAGTCTCACAATAGGACGAAACGGCCGTCCAGTGCTTCCACGTTTTACATGGTGGTCTAGCTTCAATTGACTAACGCTTTCGACTACGAAAATTCTAGAAATAAACCAAAATGATGTTTAGACTTTCAATTAAGAAAGACATGCGGCGTTGTTGTTCTTATGTGTACTGTACGTGTAAGAGAGGTGATATCAATCATATATCTCAGACTCAATTTATTTTTTTGAAAAAAGACTTTATGAAAGAGTCATGGTTTGTTTTATTTTGTCACACTGAAAGTCAGGATCGGATCCAGTCTGTTTAAAATGTATGATAGATTGACAATATTCGAATAATTATTATCTCGTCTTTGAGGACCTGTTACAAATAATCATTTTTATGAACTCACAACTTAAACCTGAAATGAAGTCAGTTTATAGACTAACTATATATAGATATATGTACACATACCCAAAAAACAATTAACTCCCATATATTTCCGAAGTAGATTACATACGCGAAGATAAGATGGTCGAAAATGATTGGACCAATCAGCTAGACAATGTGCTTCATCGATACAAACAAAACTTATCGGAGGTAGGCGTCCGGATTGAAGCATCCAATCAGAATCCACTATTGCTTCAGGTGAAAGCATAAGAAAAGAATATTTCCCCCTATCAAAGAATAAATATAAGTTGCTTGACAACCGTTAACAATCCATATATATTCGTCCAAATTCAATCATTACTTACATTTAAAAGTCCCTTACATGATTGTTTGCATCAACCAAGCAAGCATGTGAATTAATTTATTTGAGTGATGGCTTGAATATCTCAGTGACCTGTGACTCTACAAGCTAATCTTACGACCTATACGCTATGAAAACTACATGTCACTTTCATCAAGTACCATATTGTAGAAGTATGTTCTCTTTAGTGAAGAGAATGTTACTTAGTGTATCAAGAAACTAGTAGATTCTATAGGTCAGATTACATTTATACCAGTTAAAAAATGATATTCTTAATAAACTCAGTCAGATTAGACGATACATATATCCGGATTGTGTGATATAATTGCATTGTATTTTACTGCATTCTACTATCTTATCTGTTTTGTTAGTTGTATTGAGTCAAATAGACTAGGTCAGTCAATTCAAGTCCTAAACCATTTATCGCGTTAGAGCATTGATATATTCCTAAACGTTTTTGTTATATCAGTCAGTCATCTCAGTAAAGTATGTAGTATCATTTCACTCTTGGACCTCACAACTGCAGCTCTTAGTTTTAATGCTTTTCAATCCATCTGTTTCGAAAAAAGGACCCTACAGATTGTATCCACAATGTTTGAAGTCGTTTCATAGAAACCGGGAAATATATTCAAGCAAGAAAAGATATAATAGTCAGTCATAAGCAACGTGGAATCTGGCATATACATGCACCACTCCAAACTACTATACCAAATCAGTTAACATATCTCGGTTGAGTCATCACGATAAATAAATGCAAACACCACGTCAAGGTGATAGCTACGGTGGTGATGGATGACATAGCTCAGGATCGTTTGCAATGGCAGATGTCCATCTTCCTTTATATCTTGCGTCTTGAAATCATCATAAATAAACCCAAACATCATATCAAGATGGCCTCTACGGCCGGAATCGCTAACCATGAAGCTTTTATTTCCACATTTGACAAAGAAACCTAACATCAAACTGTAGTACGAACAAAGATTGATAGTGGCTAGCAGTGGAATCCACGACGCGCGTCTCGTCCTAGTTGTGACTCGTCAGCTGGATGTACTTGCATCTAAAAGTTGATGTTCACTCCGGGACTCGAACAAAAATGTTTACAGTATTCGAAGAAGAATATTGCAACGATATGAATGCCCGTACTTGATGATAATTGTGTAGCTAGTCACTCTATTCAGTATACTTCATTAGGAAATTTGAAAATGAGCTAAACAAAAAAATGTTACATACAGTAAAGCAGCATCCTAAACGCTTATATCCTCATGAAAAACCTATTGTACTCACCTATGAGCTTCTTCTAATATTTCTTTTTTGCGATCGACAGACTGGCTTGAGTTCAAAAAAGTGCCATGTAATCCCGAAATAGGCTGTATGACCTGGTCTTCCATCAACGAAATAAGGGGTGAGATGACCAAGGCGACAGTTTTATAAACTTGCTCGATTATAATAATGTAAAGTGATTAAAATAATAATTTAGCTTACCTGGTGTATTAGTGCAGGTATTTGGTAGCAAAGTGACTTCCCAAAAGCTGTCGGCATTACAGCCAATGTTGAAATGCCTAGAAGTGTACGCAAAATAACTAACTCTTGACCAGGACGGAATGACTCAAAACCCAAATCTTGTAGACAGCATTGCACACGACGAGACAGTTCGTCAACAGAAGATTGTTTCGGAAGATTACTTATAAATTCGATTGGCAAAACATCATTAATTTGAGCTGGAAAGTAGCGATTATCCAGTTCAGCAAGACTGAGTATTTTACACGTGTTATCGGATTGTTGCCAGTCAAGTAAATTGTTATTGATAGAGGGTTGGGGTTTCATGATGGTCTGTGGACACTTATTAGCCCAGTGACCTGAAACCCCGCAAATAAAGCAGGAGTTTGTCTTATGATGAACATTTTTGAACTTTTTTCTGAGCTTGTTTAAATAAACTTTTCTCCTCAACGTTCGTTGCCTTGATGATCCTTTACTGCAAAACTGTTTCTTCTTCAAGTTGAGTTTGATATAATTATGTACAGGAAAAGAGCTTCGACTAGATCTTAAACGATTCGAGACACACATATTTAATGTATCCTCTACAGGACGTGTAGGTACAATATGTCCAGCATCAACCTCACGCATGTCATTTACAAATTGAACGTCAGGAGTTTCAAGACTGTTGATTGTATTATTCGTATTTGTAGAATCAAAGTTTATTACAGGAGGATTAGCCGCTATATTTGATGTGTCCACTTCATTGGTTAGAGAACGACCAAGTAAAGAGCCACACTTGGCGATTCTTGGCTTTATTATGTTAGAGTGAATACTAGTAGAACCAGTAACAGAGTGGCAAAACGATTCTCCTTTAAGTGTGTTGCATTGTGAACGACTATTTTGATAAGATGCAGTTAAACTAGGGACCTTTAATGAATCAAGAGGAAAATTATCCACATCTTTCAAGGTGTGACCACTTTTCGGCCGAACAAGTAGATGTTGTTCACTCATATGAAAGGCCTGATTACTTTGCAACTTATTAGCATCGTTTTCTTTTCCGCTAGTCTTCGAAGTGACTTTAGATGGATACTTTGTGCGGAACGGCTCTTTATGCGAAGGATGTCCACTAAGATTTTGTTTCAGTTTTTTGGAGACGTCTAATAGTAATGGAGGAGCACATTTGGAAGTGGGTCTTTCAATATTGGGACGTAGATCCCATGGATTAGCAGAACACTCCTTTTCCATTGTTCTTTGAATTGATGAGTTCGAAAGTAACAAAAATATTAATTGAATGAGATTTGGGATTAGATATGGGTGAAAAGTGAAGCATCCTAAACAAAACAGACAAATAGGGGCTAACATTAGTCTTCCCAAACAATCTCGCTAAGAAACACTATTCTGAGACCACAAAACAACGCGAGTATACAAATCGTATTAGGCAGAAACATTTGTGTCTAGTACATATGGAAGCAACAACTTTCCGTAACTGCTGTCTACAAATATCCTAATTAAAAACAACTACTACCACTAAACGGGAGCTAGAGTTTACTTATAGACATAATACAGTACACGTAATTTAAACAACTACGGTGGATCAAGCACTTTGACATTATCGATGGTTTGATGAGTGCTAAGAACCAGTAAGCCGGACTGAAAAACATAGTTTTATAGCCAAGCTCAACCCTGATTTCTAGATCTATATCTTTCCGAACATAAGTCCAATAGATAACGATGAAGACCATGCTCTGTAGTGCTCGGATCCGAGAACTAAAACTACAAAAGTCTAATTCACAACCCTAATATACTGACCTTAGTAGCTCATTTCACAATATAACCATCAAATGCTTTCGAAATACGGAATATTATGGAAATCATGAGCAACATCAACAAGCTGTATTCAACAGCGTTCTAAATTCGCGCATCTGCAGCTTAATTTTAATTTGTCGCTCAAGGCCGTCAGTTCGAGCAACAGGTGGTATAGAGTGAGTAAATGTTTTTCAAGTCTCTCGACCTTATTCACTGTTTAGAGGGTCAACAACGAAAGACAGAAGAATTGGCAGGCCCAAAATTGTTTTTTTAAGACTTATGACATTGAGGCCATTCAACTCGCAAGCGCTTTGTGTATCTTGGGCAGCGAAATGCATCTTTGAGACCTTCACTATGAAATGTGAGTGCTTATCGACCATTGAGTCTTCGAGCCTGATGGATGAGAACTTCAGAATAAAAGAGGACTTGGTACGGCACAGAGAATGACATCTTTAGCCGCGTTATATGTGGTTGTAGTGTAGTGCTTCGTTAATCGATCGTCTCGATAACCGTTATTATATCAATCTGAACGGTGTATAATATCAGGATACAAAGGGAAGTGGCAACTACATTTTTATTGACAAATAACATAAGCTAGAAGGCAGTAAGCACATGAGTAAATGTTAGCGAACGAAGAAAAAATAACATACATGGGAGATGGCTGGTAAGCCAACTCGTTATAAGCAAGCATTAATCAACATTTATAGTCAGATTAAAATAAATGACAGACATGTGATAGGTAGGATAAGAAGGGTGCATACACATACGCTCATATAAAAAATAGTCAAGGTCAATAAGGGAATAATTAACAAGATCAAAATATGACTCATAACGTTATAGGTGAATTGGCTTGTCCAGAAACTAGAATAAGCTATGTAAGTGCAATATAGTACACGACGTTACACTACTCCCCACATGGTATGAACCGGCCTTGATCAGCAAGACAACAGCAGAATGGCCGAACTGAATACAAATTGTGTCTGATGGCCTTGATCAGCAGCATACAACACAGGACAACGAGAACGTAGTTACGCTAATGGGACACTACATATGCACAAAACCTGCAATGTCCAGTTCCCACACGATTGACCAACTCGCTTTAAATAAAAATGTGTCCCCAACTCCGGAAACAGATGTTGAAATAAAGGATCATTAGGCGATTGGACACACCGTTGATTATCTCTGTAGCAACGTAAGGTTGTCGATTTACCATAATATGACTAATTAATCCACCAGACCTTATGTGTAAGTCACATAATTATGCATACTGTTTCATCCCATCGTGACAGTCAAAGGTTGTTGCTAGAAACTTCATCTGTGCAGGAAATAAAATAATTCATTTGATTAAAAAGTCGAAGAGTTGCACAGTGGTCACACATGCATGTCGGAGCCTAGCATTCTCAACTAAGTGACTCCGCGTTCAACATTTATTACCTTCTCTCTGTGTTAAATGTTGAATGCAAATGCTCTTGATTCTCATAAGTTCAGCTTTGAGGACCATATGGTTGATAATCAGCAGCACTACAAAACCACATAGAACAATGTGGTTCGGCTACCATGCTTTTCACTACCCACAACGATAAGGTCTTCCTGTCCTATAGCTGAAGAATTCAGAAATCGAGAAGATCCGACAGAAATCGTCCTGGTCCTCCATAGTGCAAGGATTAGACTCCACAGTGACATTTAGTGTTGTGGAAGTCTAATTAGGTCAGTAAGACGAATGCGGGTAAACGAAACAAGGCACACTTCTTTTTTACTGACCTCGAGCAACCACCCACTACAAAGAGAAACGTGAACTCAACCACACAATCAGAACTGCCCACGTAGAAAGTACTCGCTTCAACCACTTTTCACGGATTTGACCGATCTGTTCAAAATGAAAACCCGTAAACACCCTCACGAACGGGCGCAGCCATAAGCAAGAGCCAAAAAAGGCGAAAACGATTTGGTTCCTTTTGAGAAATGTAAGTAAACTCATGAGTAAAATTGAAGAGATCAACATATACTCGAAACCAGGAGATTCAATACCTCACTCTTGAAACTCAGTGGAGAGGGCGAGATAACTAGAGAATTGTTTTACAGACGATTGGACACGATCACCGAAAATTCAAACCTGTATGTATATGGGTGTGACAGCACGAGAGGAAGAAGGATGAGAATCATTCAAAACTAAATCATCTGTCATCAGATGACCGACTTCTAGTAGACAATGTCCACATCAAGGAACTGACTGGTGGTAGTCCTATGACGAAGTCACAATCCACAAGATCGCAAATTAGTTACTCTGGAAGAACGAGAAGGCCCACTACATTTGCCACACTCAGACTTCGCGAACACGAGGAAGTACCTTCAGCCGCTCCATAGCTGCGAGTGTTTGAGTTTAATTCTGGATGACCAGTGGGAGATGAGGAGGGATACTATTCGGGAATATGCCATAATCAACGCATATCAATTGGAGAGGGCACCTGAAAATTGAAGATCCTGGTCTAAGTAAGGCACAGGTCGCTTGATATGGGTGTAAAGGAGAGCCTAGCACAAACGATCAGTTGCCTTATGGATTCTGATCGCAGCTCCTACCTGTCATTGAGAGATGAATGGAGCATCAAAGTTCAAGGTGACGTTAGATATGTAGAAACCAAGTGAGCAGCTAAAGCGCAAGCCAACCCAAAACAACTCTGTAGGTTGTTGACTAAACAAGAACCTACAAACCAGTTGGTTGGTTCCCCTCGAAGTACCTAACGGTGAAGATCTTACCAACTTAGGGATGGATGAAATCTTAACTCTCGACCTCACTAATCAGCTCAAACAGAACCATGCGAAAGCAGAATACTCCCCAACCGCAGTGAGAGTTGGCGGCCTAAAAAATTTCTATCCAACTGCCAGGTAAGAACTAGCAAAGGATCAAATTTCAGGTGTTCCCCAAGTTTATATTGTAATGAGTTGCCCTCGTCTGGAGTGTCCCCAGCCTATTCAGTTCATAACCTTGATAATAGACAGGTCGAAACACTTGCTCACTCATGGACTGTCATCTCGCTCTTGTGAACCAGCCGTGCTTTATGCATATCCCATTACCTTTCTACTATTACCGTTGGCAGACATCACTAAGTTATCATTATCTCGCCAGTCATAATCTTCATTTCTCCTTACGCTATTATGCTGAGGTCCACTTACAGTCATCATTACTAATTATTTTACCTTTTTACCTACCCCCTGAAACAATCTAGTTCTTTTAGCTTTTTTACATTTAGATTTTCTCTTTTCACTATCTTCCACATTGCAACCAACCAGCCAAATTCTTGAATGATGTCGTGAGATCCCAGAAATCAAATTGCCCTGAGACAATCAGATCATAAGACAAACAAATACACAAATAATGACCAAATTGAGTAGAGATACTGCAGTTGCGTGGCTAGACTATCACCCATTTGATATTATCAAGCACCTGGAAACAGTGTTGAAACAAGAACAAGCGAGCGCAAGGAAACCAATCAGTTCGTGCAAACTAGCTCTAAGAGTATTGGTTATATTGATTATTGCATATTGAAAGTCCCTAACTTTGTGTTTGAGCGCCGATTTATATCAGAATATATCTTACAACAATCGAGTGAGTTTAAGCTTGTCTTAATACCGAAAGCTCAGAGTAAGTGAAGGGAACACGGTACGACACTGACATGCCTTTGAATGGTACTGACAGCCCTCATTTCAGCTTGAGTACATTTCAAGACAAAAGTTTGCACACGAAAACTGGCTTGCACTAAAGTCATCCAATATTTATCTCAAATCGTTGGTTAACTATTTCTTCTCCCACTTCAATAATACAGAATAACCACGACATCAACTATCGGTAAATACTAGCTGGAACATAGAATGCAAACTGAAATGGCCATCAAGTAGCTGTTTTCTCTTTCCATATTTGTATTTTGATTCAAATTAGCAGATAACGATCGGGGATGTTTTCTATGCAGTTCCATTTTCTCGTGGGTCATTAAAGGCTTCGACTCAGAATACTGTTTTCTGAATAAAATTACATCAGCACCATGTTCTGATGTAGCACAGAAAATACGTTGCTTCGATTGAAACCAGATTGTATATATTTAGTTCCACAATTACTTTCAGCGAGCTTGGACTTCAGGGCGTTTACGCTACCAACAGTGTTTTGTCAAGTGTATCCTTAAACATATTCAATCGCATTCTTCAATGTGTGGTTTTGCTATGGCGTTACAGCTAGGTTCTTCTCAGAAAACAATCTCCCATTTAATGGATCACAAACCACGGAGCTCACAGAACACACATGGTGTAGTGCCGTGCTTCGATCATAGTTCGCTTCGATAACCGTTATTAATACCAATCTTAACGGTGTATAATATCAGAAGGCAAAGGGAAGCGGCAACTACATTTTTATTGATAATCGATGCAGACCAGAAAGTTGTAAGCACATG